GGGGCAGTGCAGTGCATGGGGGTATCAGGGCAGTGCAGTGCACAGAGGTGTCGGGGCAGTGCTAGGGGGCAGTGTAGTGCACGGGGGGGTGTCAGGGCAGTGCAGGACATGGAGGGTCTGTGCAATGCCGTGGGGGGGAAGGGGCGTCAGTGCAATGCAGTGCAGCCCATTGCTAGGCATCAATGCAGCATATAGAAGCGTGACGCAACATATGGGGGGGTCAGTGCAGTGTAATGTATATGGCGCTGTCAGTGCAGTGCTAAGGGTGGACACATGGCATGGGGCATCAGTGCGGAGCTAGGGACCAGTGCACTGCATGGCGCTGTCAGTGCAGCGCCAGGGCTTGGTACACTAAATGAGGTGTCAGCACAGGGGTGCAAGTGCACTGCATGAAGGTGTCAGTGCAGTGCTAGGGCTTAGTACACTAGAGTGTCCGTGCAGTGCACAGGGGGGCATTGCACTGCATCAGGGTGTCAATGCAGTGCCAGGAGCTGGTGCACTGCATGGAGGTGTCAGTGCAGTGTCAGGGCTCGGTGCACTGAATGGAGGTGTCAGCATGGTGCACGGGGTGCAGTGCACTGCACAGGGGTGTCAGTGCAGCACCTGGGAGTGTCAGCAGGGTGCACAGGGGTCAGTGCAGCGCTGGGGCTCAGTGCACTGCACAGGGTGTCAGCCTGGTGCACGGGGGCGCAGCACACTGCACGGGTGTCAGCACAGTGCTGGGGCTCAGTGCAGTGCCCGGGAGTGTCAGCCCGGTGCACAGGGGTGCGGTGCCCTGCACGGGTGTCAGTGCAGTGCTGGGGCTCAGCGCCTTGCACGGGGTGCCAGCCCAGTGTATGGGGGTGCAGTGCACTGCACAGGGTGTCAGTGCAGCACTGGGGCTTGGTGCAGCACCCAGGGGTGTTAGCAGGGTGCAGTGCAGTGCCCTGCATGGGGTGTCAGCCCAGTGCATGGGGGCGCAGCGCTCTGCACGGGGTGTCAGTGCAGTGCTGGGGCTCAGTGCCCTGCACAGGGTGTCAGCTCGGTGCACAGGGGTGCAGTGCAGCACCCGAGGGTGTCAGCCTGGTGCATGGGGGTGCAGTGCATTGCACGGGTGTCAGTGCAGCGCCCAGGCTCGGTGCAGTGCCCGGGGGTGTCAGCCTGGTGCATGGGGGTGCAGTGCACTGCACGGGGGTGTCAGCCCGGTGCACGGGGGTGCAGTGCACTGCACGGGTGTCAGCGCAGCGGCCGGGGGTGTCAGCTCAGTGCATGGGGGTGCAGTGCACTGCACAGGGGTGTCAGCCCGGTGCACGGGAGCCCAGTGCAGCGCCTGGGCTCGGTGCAGCACCCGGGGGTGTCAGCCTGGTGCACGGGGGTGCAGTGCATTGCCCGGGATGTCAGCCCGGTGCACGGGACTCGGTGCAGCGGCCGGGGGGGGCCGGCCGGGGCAAG